ACACACACACACACACACACCAAACTCACTGCTGTTGAGTCAGTTTGACTCATAGTGACCCCTCCTTGGATTTCCGAGGCAGTATCTCTACGGAAGTAGATTGCCCAATCTTCCTTCCGAAGGGTGACTGGTGGATTTGAACTGCCAGCCTTCTGGTTAGCAGTCAAATATATAACTTGTTTGAGTGATCAATGTAAACATATAACATCTTAGTGAACTTTAGTTCAAATCCCATGAGACTCTGGTGGCAGAGGCCAGGGACATAAATTAACTTCGAAATAAAAAAGCAAGTTTACCCCCTCAACTGAGACAGTCATTAGATAATGATTTGTTTCTATTTAAACTAGAGTTAAAACTTAGTTTATAGAGTCATTCATTCAACAACTTTTTAGTGAGTCCTTATTCTCTCCTAGGCATTGTGCTAAGTGCTGAAAATATCAAATAAAACACAGACACACATACCTTCATGTAATGTATGGTTTAGTGTGCCAGATAGATATGACACAAATAAGTAAGTGTAAAATATAAGCCAGGAAATAAAGGTAGCTACATGGTGACATGGGAATTGAGGTAGCTGACCCTGAGCATGTGGGGATTGAGCTGAGATCTGAAGATGAATTGGAGTGGACTAGGCAAGATCAAAGTCCAGTGGTAGGAGGAAGCCTTGAGGCTCTATGGACATTAATATGTATTTGTTCATTCATTTATGTATTCAATAAAATGTTTAAGTACCCATATGTGCCAGACAACTGTTGGACACTGGAAATAAAACTATGAGCAAAATATGCATGATCTCTGGCCTAATGTGGCTTACATTATAATTGCAGAGGCAAACATTAATAGATAGCCTCACAAATAAATTATATATAATTTATTTGTGAGGCTATCTATTAATGTTTGCCTCTGCAATTATAATGTAAGCCACATTAGGCCAGAGATCATGCATATTTTGCTCATAGTTTTATTTCCAGTGTCCAACAGTTGTCTGGCACATATGGGTACTTAAACATTTTATTGAATACATAAATGAATGAACAAATACATATTAATGTCCATAGAGCCTCAAGGCTTCCTCCTACCACTGGACTTTGATCTTGCCTAGTCCACTCCAATTCATCTTCAGATCTCAGCTCAATCCCCACATGCTCAGGGTCAGCTACCTCAATTCCCATGTCACCATGTAGCTACCTTTATTTCCTGGCTTATATTTTACACTTACTTATTTGTGTCATATCTATCTGGCACACTAAACCATACATTACATGAAGGTATGTGTGTCTGTGTTTTATTTGATATTTTCAGCACTTAGCACAATGCCTAGGAGAGAATAAGGACTCACTAAAAAGTTGTTGAATGAATGACTCTATAAACTAAGTTTTAACTCTAGTTTAAATAGAAACAAATCATTATCTAATGACTGTCTCAGTTGAGGGGGTAAACTTGCTTTTTTATTTCGAAGTTAATTTATGTCCCTGGCCTCTGCCACCAGAGTCTCATGGGATTTGAACTAAAGTTCACTAAGATGTTATATGTTTACATTGATCACTCAAACAAGTTATATATTTGACTGCTAACCAGAAGGCTGGCAGTTCAAATCCACCAGTCACCCTTCGGAAGGAAGATTGGGCAATCTACTTCCGTAGAGATACTGCCTCGGAAATCCAAGGAGGGGTCACTATGAGTCAAACTGACTCAACAGCAGTGAGTTTGGTGTGTGTGTGTGTGTGTGTGTGTAGTAAACAAGTAAATGAAAAAATATTTCTACCTCACAAATGTGGATTGGAAATAAATTTCAATTATATTTTATTGATTAGCAAATTGCCATGGTTAGGTTGGGGTCTGCATTAGACCAAGAAGAGGATTAGGAATGTATGTGCTGAAAGAAGAATAGAGAGAAGGAGCCTTTTCAACTACAGAGTATCATATACTTCTCACAGTGATTTTTCTTACATTGTCCAGGTACCATCTAAAGTAGAAAAACTAATTTTGGAATTGACAAAGGACGTAGTTTAGGCTCATTTGTAACAGTGGAACCAAACATGATTCTTAACATAATTATCCCAGAATTGTCTCCTTGGACTATGGTAATTACTTTTTTAACAGTAGTGGGAAAATGAAACATAAGAGGAGAAAACTGGCCAAACCTTTGTGCAAATTTTGAATAATCCCAGGATATTTCTTCAGCAGCAATGTAATAATGTTTTTTGTTTCCATTATAGCTGTGAAGGTACCATGCTGCAATACTGTCTGGATTTCTGGAGGAGCTGATGTCTGTTCTTATGTCAGTCTGGTAGGGATCGTCATAAAGCACATAATCAATCTCAACAGAGTCTTCTTCACTGCTCTGGAGCTCCTGCCCTGGAACAATTTCAATGTAATCTCCATCATCTTTGGAGAGGCCCACTACAACTGATGGATTAAATTGCCTTGGTGTTAAAGTGTCATTGAGTGTAGTAGATAGTGGAGGAGATGGTGTTTGACCAAAGTCTGGAGAAGGAAGAATTTGACCAAATTCTGGAAGAGGCAGTGACTGATTAGATTCAAAAGGGTAAAATGTCTGATCAGGGTCTATAGGAGGCAATGTCTGACTAAATTCTGGAGAAAGGGTCATCTGACTGAATTCTGAAGGGAGGGTTTCCTGGCTGAGGTCAGGAGAGAGGACTGCCTGGCCAAGGTCTGAAGAAAAGTGGTCTGCAGAGAGGGGCATCTGGCTGAGGTCTGAGGAGAGGGTGGTCTGACTGAGCTCTGAAGAGGGGGTTTCCGGGCTGAGGTCAGGAGAGAGGACTGTCTGGCCAAGTTCTGAAGAAAAGTGGCCTGTGGAGAGGGTCATCTGGCTGAGGTCTGAAGAGAGGGTTTCCTGGCTGAGGTCAGTGGGAACATTTGTCTGACTAAATTCTGGAGAAAGGGCTGTCTGACTGAGGTCAAGAGAGGGGACTGTCTGACTGAAGTCTGAAGAGGATTCATCTGGGGAGAGAGTTGTCTGGATGAGGTCTTGATAGAGGAGTAGTTGACTGATTTCTGGAGAGTAGGTTGTCTGCCTAACTTCAGGTTCCAAGGAAGGAAACATTTGACCACTCTTAATAGGGGATGGCTCATGACTTGGGTCATAGCTGAGCATCTGGTCAAGCTCTGGAGTAAAGGCTATGTGACTGGAGTCTGTAGTAGAGTGCATTTGATCAGGGTCTTGAATATGAGAGTGTTCCTCTGTGGGTATTCTCTGATAAAGATCTGGAGGAGAACTTGTCTGACCAGTGTCATTGTTTGGGGAGTTTGGATTATGGTCAGGAAGTGAAACTATCAGGCCAGGACTCATAGAGGACAATGTCTGGGTGAGGTCTGTGAGAAGAGATGTTTCATTGGACTTTTGGAGTGACAATGAATCATCAAGCCTTCCATCTGAAAATGTGGTGTGGGAGTCTTCTTTTAGGGGGTGAAAGCCCCTGGGAGACATGGGAACATAGTGTATCATCTTTTTCTTTTTTCGGGTCTTAATATAAAAAGGGTTTTTCTTCAATCCACTATTTTCTCCATCCTGTCTTATTTTTAGAGAGTGATGTCTAACTCTAGAAAAACTTTGGCGGCCAGTCTGCCTTTCATGCTTTTTTGTAAGGCGGGTACTATCTCCCCAAGTTCTTGAGTCATTCTGGGGACTTTTCAGTAGTGTGTTAACAGAAATATCTTCATCCATTTCTTGGATTATTGTATAGTTACCTTTCTCAGAAATGACATGCCATTTCTCATTCAAAATCTTAGATGGATTCTTCTGTTTTAAGAGTAACAGATCACTAGGAATGTTCTTCCAGGGCCCCATTCTGGAAGGAGAAATACTGTCTTGTTTTAAATGTCTCCCAGTTTTACGTGCTGGTATTTCCTTCTGAGAAAACTTGAGCTTTGTTGCTAGGTCTCTTCCTGCCTTTGATCCTTTATGTTTAGCATTTGTTTGACTTTTGAATCTTTCTGTACCAAGAGGAAGTAAGCTTATCTTTGTAACATCTGATTGTAGAGGATCCTCTGTGGAGTCTTCAGAATAAGGGCTGTAATGTTCTGCTATAGAAGGGTTGAGAGCTGAGGTCTTATCTAAGCTAGTGTTTGTGGCCCCTGTGTGAGGAAGGGTTTTCTGAGGTTCTGAGAGGTCATTATCTATGACCCAACTAATGTTACTGGAGGAAGAAGAATTTGAACTAATAGCTGTGTCTGCACGCAGGGAAACGAATTCAGAGCTGCTCTCCAGAGCCAGGGCAGTAAGATTTAACTCATCTTCCTTCTGATTCAGTGATAAATTTCTATATGACCGAATTCCTAATGATGAAGCCAGTGAATCCTGGTAATCATATTCCTCAGGATCCTCTTCACTTTTATTTTCTGAAATATCACTCATTTTCCTGTTGTCTATGGCTGTAGATGGTGGAGGTCCATATATAATATATTGGTCTTCATAATCATCCCGGATACATTTAACATCTCTGAATCTAAGCCTTAATTTTTTGCTTCTTGGACTAGAACTTTTGGTAGTTAACATCCAAGTTCCTATGAAAGAGAGAATAAAAGTAAAATGAAAAAAGATATAAATGTGGCATGTAATTTTTAACAAACTTTAGAGGAAGATAATCAAGTGTATTCTGTGAACCACTGCCGCTCTTTGAACTGCTAGTTACTGGCCCACAATGACATAAGGTCAGAAATTAAGTGCAAAATGTTTAGGAAACATTTTAGTAATTTGACATTGGTGTTAATCCAAGTATGGGATCAGTGCACTAACCTCATTTAACAGACTATAAACCTGAAGTACTGGCCTATAGATTAGATTAGTAGAGATTAAACCGAAAAAAGGACCAGACTCATTGTTATCGAGTCAATTCCAACTCATAGCAACTCTATAGGACAGAGTAGAGCTGTCTCATAAGGTTTCCAAGGGTGAAAATCTTTATGGAAGCAGACAGCCTCATCTTTTTCCCATGTAGTGAATTTAAATTGTTGACCCTTTGGTTAGCAGCTGAATGTGTTAACCAATACACCACCAGAAGTCCTTAGTAGAGAATAGGGAGGGGGGAGAAAAAAAGGTCTTTCAGCACAGATAGTTTGAGAGTCACTATTTGAGAATATATTGGAGATTCCAAAGTCAACTTTGTCTTCTAATGTCTGGGCTCTTACTCACCAACATTATCCATTGTGACGGTCACAGATTCTCCACGCATGGGGAAGAGGGCTAGGGTGTCCTCGTGCCTCTTTCCATAGATGAATGAGTGCCCGGTAAAATGAATGATCAAAATGTCATTCTGGGTTCCAACACTGCAGAAGTGCCACTGCACAGTGTCATCAAAACAGAATCCTAGCGTGTGTATACTCTCAGGTACATAGCCATTGATAGCTGAAAGAGTAAAATATGTTAAGACACCAACTTTGTGCCAACAGAGGGGGACGAATCTAATTACACCTAAGAAAAATGCCCCTGTGTTGATTTGGTTGTTCACACCAACACCACAGTGTCAAAGCAGTAGCTTTGCCATGTCTAACATGTGATTAGAAGATCAAACTCAGATTCCCCAAATGAGAGCTTATTTTCCTAATTTAGCCACAGGACTAATGTCAGGATAAATATAGCCTCATTTATATTAACTTAATCACTCATTCATCAAATGTGTATTAAATACTTTGTGCTCTATGCTCTGCCTTCAAGGATATTCTAAAGATCAACTTAGAATATTAATCATAATTATTCAACTTGGAGGAAAAGAATAATGTAAGAAATTCATCTTTGAGAGTATCCAAGATGGCAAACTAGGTAGATACACTATCCAGACGCTTTACAAGAAAGACTCAAAAAAAACAAGGGAAATGGCTATGGATGATTATCCTGTATCCCAGAACTTCAAAGGAAAGGATAAAGAAGTAGATGAAATACTGCTGAGAGGAAGAGACTGAATGAAAATGGTGAAGAAAGAGCAGTAAACTGCCAACCAGCACAATGTGGCCATTTTGAATTATTGCAAGCAGCATTCCAATTGCAGCAGGAACCAGATAACTGGCTCCATTTGCCCAGGACTGCTCCAGCACCAACATTAGTGATCACGTGACCAGAGAGGTGTGTCCTCCCTACTTCCCTTACACAACCTGCCAGTGACCAGAAGTACAGTCCTCCCCACCCCCGCCCACCCATGACCAAATTCCCCCAACTGCCAGAACTGTGCCATCTTTTTTTTTCCCCCTTACCTTTCTGCTCTGTGATTTCATTCCTTCCCTTTTCTTTTCCTCTTTTTCCCCCCTTCCTCTTTCCTTGTCTTTTTTCTCTTTTTGAATCCTGAAGAGAGGATGCCCTTCCCCCACTGCCCATGCTGCTAGCAGCCCATGCTCTTGTCCCTCCCTGGTTTGAGGTACACACTCTGGTAGAGTGAGCACTGCATTCCTGCACAGCTGTGTTTGGTGGCTGGCACTTTTGCCAGTGCTATGCTTGCTTGCTTTCTTTCGTCTTAGTTCTTCTTTCTTCTCTCCCATGTTTTCCTTTTCTTTCTTTTCTTTTTTTATCCTCTTCACCTCTTCTTTTTTTCCCTTTTAATCTCACCCCCTCCCCACTCCACCCACTATGGTCAACAGCACCTGCCTCCACATCTCCATGGACAGCAGGATGCATTCCCCTAGAGTGAGCTCCACATTCCTGCTGCAGCTGTTTGGCAGCTAACACTTGCACCAGTTTTATTTTTCCTACTTCTCTCTCTCTCTCTCTCTCTTTTTCTTTTCCCCCTTTTTCTTAGTCTGCAGTGCATAATTGCATAATATGGCTCTTCCAGCCATGGTTTTTGTGGCTCCAAGCAGATCACTGGGTGGGACTACGCAAATGTGAGGGGCCTGTGATTCACTAAGAGGATTGGATAGCTTGTTAATAATGTACATAAGATACATGGCACCCTTGTGTGGGTAGGACACTGAAATGAGCTATATGGAACCCTAACACAGGTATTGGTCAGTTTTGCCATCTTGCTAGGCTTAAAAGGAGCCACATCAGAGGTGGAAAGGAAGATCTCACTACCATCAAGAAAGAAGAGCCAGGAGTGGAATGCATCCTTTGGACCTGAGATCCCGGCACTGAAGTTCTTTGACTCAGGATACAGAGAGGTGTAACACTTTGCTGAGAGGGCAAGAAGTGGCAGCAGATCCTGGTAGCAGTGAATAGCACAAGACAGAGTGGTTGACTTCCTGACCCATGGAGCCTATGGAGAAAGCTGAGTGCCTCTGGGCAGGAGGCTTGCTGGTGGAGTAGGGTGCTTCTCTGGGAACCTATTGGGAGAACTAAAAGAGTTCTATAACATTTGCCTAATCAGGACAGAGGCCAAGTGGCTGCAGGGATGAGGGACTGAGGCCAGAGAAAAGTGTGCCTGTGGTGTGGCTGAGAAGAGGTTATCCTGATTGAAGAACTGTATTCTTAGTAGTTTCTGATCCTGAACTGTGACCTGTTACTTCTCTAATAAACCCCATAATCATAAGTATTGTCTGTGAGTTATGTGTGGCTCCTATAGCAAATTATTAAATCCAGCAGAGAAGTAGAGAGTACCCTGGGAGGGACAGTTGATGTCAGAATTGGTTAAAAAAAAAAAAAGGTTGGAGGTTGAAAGCATGTCTGACCTCCACCTCATAGGAATCAGCCTTGGGCTGTTGATATTGATTTTGATCCTCCTCCTGCCTTGTGAAGTTAGAGGAGGTCAGCCAATGCCATCCTCATGTCCTTTTTACACAGCCATTCCCTCTCTCCCTATTTGTTTTTTCCTTTCTCACCACTTCCACACATTCCCCGCCCCCCCCCCCAACACACACACACTTCTTTTTTCTTGATCTGGCTAAGGGAGTACCTCACCACCTCCTCACCTCTATGTTCAGTAGTACTGCTCCTGACCCTCTGTATTTGGTGGTATGTACACCCATGGAGCAAATGCCACTTTTGCACAGTAGCAATCTTTGGCAGCTACCACGTGCACCAGTACTGTGCCATATTTGTTTTTGTTAATCTTCTTTTTCTCTTTTCCTTTTTTCTATACTTCTTTCTTCTCAGATCTCCCCTCTCTTTCCAACCTTGTTTCCCTGCGCCCCTTTTATATTTCTATTATTTCTCAGCAGTTGGGAGCTAGTGATCCTAGTCAGACATATTTTGCTGACTAATGCCATGTCCTAGTCAGACATATTTGCTGGGCAAATGCCATGATATTTCCAGCACCACTGGACCAACAACAGTTAGCAGCCAACACTTGCCCAGCATTCCTTCAGCTGCTTTGCACAGTCAGTGATCAAAGACTTGTGCTTACACTCCCGTGTACTATCAAAGACAGGTGGTGAGAACCCCAGTATTGTCAAAGTAGCGACCAGACTAATATGCCTTCCCTGTTTACTGGATATATTAAAACAGAACAATACAAAATATCAGAGTGAAGCAAACCAACATGCAATCAACAAATTAATACAATAACACTATGATGTCTTAGGAGCTCTGGTAGCATAGTGCCTAAAGCACTTGACTGCTAACCAGAAGGCTGGCTGTTCAAACCCATGAGCCACTTCTCAGAAGGAAGGTTGGGCCATCTACTTCCTTAGTGATACTGCCTCAGCAACTCAAGGAAAGGTCACTATGAGTTGGGTACAACTCAATGGCACATAACAACAACAATAACAACAACATGATGTCTTGGAGACAACAGATAAGTTCAAATTACACTGAAAAACCAGGATAAGATGGCTCAAACAAGTGACAAAAATGTAGGGTCAGAAAATCTTCTGGAGGAAGAAATGCTATTAGGACTACTTGATAAGGAATTTAAAAAAAATTATATTTAGGTACAGATTATATTTCAACAGATTGAATTATATTTCAACAGACTGAAATAAAGTTTGAGAAAACCACAGACAAAATGAAAGAAAACACAGGCAAGACTTTAGAATTAAAAAAAAAAATACGAGAACAAATTGACAAAATAAATGGAAAATTAGAAACCATACAAAACAGCAAATGGAGACCCACAAATTAATACTAAAATTTCAGATAATGCATTGGAAGGACAAAGGAGTAGAACTGAATCAATGGAACACAGGATGAGCAAAATTGAAGAGAAATCTCTCAATACTAATCTGCTAAAGGAACTGGTGGTTCAAACCCACCAGCCACTCCTCGGAAGGAAGGTTGGGCAATCCTACTTCCATAGTGATACTGCCTCGGAAACCCAAGGAGGGGTCGCTATGAGTTGGGATTGACTCGAAGGCACATAACAACAACAACAAAGGAACAATCAGAAAAAAGAATGAAAAGAAAAATGAAGAAAGCCTAAGAATTATGTGGGACACCATCAAAAGCTAACTTACATATGATCAGAATTCCAGAACAAGCAGAGACCAAAAAAAAAAAAAAAAAGAAAGAAACAAGAAAATTGTTGAAGATTTGTTGGAAGAAAATTTCCCTATTATTATGACAAGAAAATATGCATTTAAGAAACTCAATGAACCACAAATAGGATAGAGCCCTCCCCCCCCCAAAAAAAAGTCACCAAGACATCAAAATCAAACTTCCTAAAACCAAAGGCAAAGAAAGAATCTTGAAAGCAGCTCAGGAAAAATGAAAAGTCACTGACAAAGGAGGATCATTAAGACTAAACTCTGATTTCTTGGCAGACACCATGCAGACAAGAAGGTAATGGGATGATATATATAAAACCCTGAAAGAAAACAATTGCCAGCCAAGAATTATATACCTAACTACCACATTCTACCCCTTGTCAACTTGGCACCTGTAAGGATTTCCTTCTTTGGGTGGCCTGATTCTCCTAGTCCATTTGAGTGGCAACCTCACGCTGTTGGCCTGGCAGATTCTGTTCTTCTGCCCCTTGGACATGGCAGCCACACTCCATCATTTTTGGGCAGCAGATATGGCCCCATCACACTCGCATTCATATATGGCAGCCCCACATTCCAGAACAAAGTTCGTGAAGATCTGACTCTCTGAAGACTAAGAGACCATGATAGCTACATCTTTTGAAACCCCAGGGGCCATGGTCCTACCCTTTGAGACTGAGGCAGCTCTGCTTCCCATTTCATTACTCTCTTGAAGAAGCAAGTTGAGACTCTGCCCTGTCCCAGCAAATATTAAAAGCTTTTCAGCACTACCAGTTAGTGCTCAAAGGCAACCCACTCTGCCAGGAAGCTGCTTCCCAAAGGCATTCAGCTATCTCATGCCATAGACTGGCAAGCCCATTGGTCCATTTTGTGCCAGTTTCTTAGCTCTGCTGCTGCTGTCTCTCTGCCAGTCTCTCTGTTGTGGTCTCAGTGAAGGGATCCAAGGACATGTTCCACTCCTGCTTCCACATTTTAGGTATCTGTTAGAGTGGAACTCCACTC